TGACTGCATCATCCACAGACCTGTTTGCTCTGTAGGCAAACTGAAGAGGATCCAGCAGGGGTCTAGTGATGTCCTTCAGGTAGGCCAGGACCAGTCTGACAGATGTGACTTCATGACCACAGATGTGAGGTGATCCACTGACAGATGGAGGTAGGCACAGAGAGCTGTGTCAGTTTGTCTGAGAGAAGGTCAAGCATGATAGTATTGAAGGCCAAACTGAAGTCCACAAATAGGATCCTTGAGTAATGCCCAGGTCTGTCGAGGTGTTGCAGGATGTAATGCAATCCCATGTTGACTGCATCGTCCACAGACCTGTTTGGTCTGTAGGCAAACTTAAGAGGATCCAGCAAGGGTCCAGTGATGCCCTTCAGGTAGGCCAGGACCAGTCGCTCAAATGACTTCATGACCACAGACATGAGAGCAACAGGTCTGTTATCCAGTTAAGTTCAGTGATTTTGGGCTTTTTGGGGACCGGAATGATGGTGGAGCGTTTGAAGCAACCGGGAACTTCACACAGCTCCAGAGATCTGTTGAAGATCTGTGTGAAGATGTGGGCCAGTTGTTCAGCGCAGACTTTTAAACAGGCAGGTGAAACACCATCTGGGCCTGAAGCTTTTCTAGATTTCTGCTTCCTGAAGACCCGGTTCACATCCTCTACACAGACCTTAAGCACAGGCTGAATGGTGGGGGAGGGAGGGAGGGGGGTTGCAGGGGTAGTAGGTGATGGTGTGAAGTGCAGATCAGAGCGGATGGGGGGTGGTCGACGAAGCAGAGTTTGAAAAGTCCTTGTTGGTGCGGGTGAGGAGAAGAAGTTCATCCGTTTTGTTAGGAAGGGAACGGACATTCGCGAGATGAATGCTTGGGAGCGCAGTCCGAATGCCGCGCGCGCGGAGCTTCACCAGGGCGCCGGCGCGTTTCCCTCTTCTGCGTCTGCACGTGCGTTTGAACAACACCGCTGTACCTCCAACTAGAATGTCCAACAAAACGTCCGAATAATCAAAAACCGGAAAAATATTGTCTGGGGTGTGCTGCTTAATGTTAAGGAGTTCGTCTCTGGTAAAACTTATAGAAGAAGAATGACAAAACACAGAACAAACAAACAAAAACAATAGAAGAATCGCGGAGCTCAGCGTCCTGGCTGCCATTTGCGGCGCCATCATCAGAATTATCCACTTTACTCTTGGTAATTTAATAAATTAATACATTTCATAATTTAAAACTTTAGTGCAGAAGTATCGAATCGGTATCGATATCGACGATACTGCCTTCAAAAATATCGTTATCGTATCGAAAACAAAATAAGTGGTATCGCCCATCCCTAGTTCAGGTGCTTCGGGGCAGATTCTGGCTCTGCTCGGCATCTCACAAAAGTAGGTGAGTCACCTCGCAGACCGACCTGTGCCCGTTCAAAAATTCCTCTCGCGAGTTTGAGCGAGGACACGCGTCCTTATTTTCCTTACTCATCAGTTTAAGGCATGAGGCATTGCGTCCCGCGCTCGCGCTGCTCTTCCCGCGCGCCCTGCTGCTCCGCGAGGGTGAGGAGCGAGCGATAAATGCGCAGTGCGCCCGCGGGCCACTGATGACACCCGGCACTCCTCCTCACACACACACACCTCACGAGTGCACTTAATAGTGTACGGAGCGAGAAAAAGCCTTGTTTGTGGCTCGAGCGAGGTCTTCGGCCGGTGCATTGTGGGATAGGCCGTGACGTCACCGCGTCTCGCTTTCTGGAGGTGGAGCTTAGCGTTTCTTTCTTTCTGTTTGTTCCTTTGATGCTGTTATGATAGTTTAACACTGTGTGATCCTCTATATGTTGTGTTGAGCTAATGTAAAAAAATAATAGTTTTGCGCTTTCTCTATGAATCAACTTAACTCGATTTCCCTCATTTTGTTAGTAATAAAGCATCTGTGAGGTAATGACCAAACTTGCTTCCACGGAATATCAGTTACAGAACCCGATCGACTTCTTTTTCAAAGTAAAAACAAATATCCCCGTATTATTTTCCTCCTCTCGCCGCTTCTCTCTCCAGTCCAGCGGGTGGCGCTAAACACATGCGTTTGTTTCCCAAACACCATTAAACCTCAGAGGAAGAAGATTAGTTTCACCGCGCTCTCGGTTGTTTTGTTGTGGTGCTGGCTTAATACAAACGGTTAGAAATGTTGTTTCTGTAAATAGAGAAATACAGTTTTTGAATCAGGTCAATAAATACATGTAATATTCTCATCTTCATAGTCGTGACTAAGTTTTGAATCAAGCAGGAATATCTGGAGGAGTATCATCTGAACTGAGATCTGCTGCTGTGAAGATGGTGTTTGTTAAAGAGGAGAGTGAGGAGAACATGAGTGAACCAGAAACCTGGAGAATAAAACACGAGGAACCAGAACCCTGGAGAATAAAACACGAGGAACCAGAAACCTGGAGAATAAGACACGAGGAGCCAGAAACCCGGAGAATAAAACACGAGGAACAAGGAGGTTGGTGTTTATTCTTCATTCATCTTTAATTACTATTTGTGGTACATTCACAGATCCTTTATGTAAAAAATAAGACCTTAACCATCATTAAAATGTTTTAAGTCCATGTTTCAAAGTTCTTATGGAAATGTGAGTGAACGGACAATGGGGCTATTTAATTATTACTTTAGGTAGACTTTATTTTTGCTTTTTGGAATCATAAAACTGTGTTGAACTCCGAGCGTGTGAGACTGAATTTGTTTTTATGCTAGTATAAACCACATTTGAAGTAAAGTCGCTATAGGACTGTGGTTATTTTAAATCATGTGAATGTCTCAGTAGAGCATTATTTGCTTGTTCCTTACATTTCACTGTAAATCAGTAACAGTTTTGCAACAGGCTTTGCAAACGGACTTTTACTGTACGATTTTACTGTAACCCTGATTATCAATTTTTCTTTTATGCCAAAAATCATTAGGATATTAAGTAAAGATCGTGTTCCATGAAGATATTTTGTAAATTTCCTACCATAAATATATCAAAACTTACATTTTTATTAGTAATATGCAGTGCTAAGAACTTCATTTTGACAACTTTAAAGGTGATTTCTCAATTTTCCCCATCGATTAATCGGATTAAAAAAAGCCCACTTTCCTTTTTTTTTTTATTTTACTGACAAAAACACACTATTTCACATTCTGCCCAATGTCCTTCAAACAAACGTGTTATTGTCATTTATTGGGCAAATAACAAACTGAAACAAATAAATAGTATTTATTCTAGGGCTGAAGCTATCGAATATTTTAATAATCGAGTATTTTACCGAAAATACCATCGATTAATCGAGCAATCGGATAAGAAGTGCTTTTTCTTTATTAAAGAGCAATACTAAATATACAGGTTACTTTACTAGTTACTTGACAAAAGTAATCTGATTACATAACTCGCGTTACTTGTAATGAGTTACCCCCAACACTGTTAATAACTGAAAACTAAACCCATTTAGTGCATTTAATTACCATATTACATTCAAAATGCAAATACAAATATATAAAAATAGAAAAATCAATTTCAAATTACTTTAAAAAAGGTAAACCATAGTACAACCAAAAACTAAGACAAATCAAAATAATAGTAATAAAAAAATTATAATAAAACCTAAACATTGTGCAACTTAACTTTCAAGTTTCAGCCGATCTAGCTCAGGCATGACATAAGCCTTTACTGTCTTCTTGGAAGGCTTTGTGGCTTTTGTAAGAGGCAAAAATTTGTGGGCAGGAAGCTAACGTGGAACAAAAACAAGAGTCCATACAGATAACATTTATTAACACATTTTTCAGCAACATGAATTTAAAGTTATTTGGAGAATAAACCCTCTTAAATGTCTCTCTGCATACTGGTGTGTGTGTGTAATCCTTTAAAGGAGCATGTGGTTGCAAACACAAACCTTAGCCTACCTGTTTATTCATTTATTATGGTATGTAACTAGCTCACCTTTTGCTGCACCATGTTTGCGTAGCACATCTTCGTGCTCTCTGTAATCAATATGAATCTGTACTAACTTTAACAGTCTCCCCGCACTCCCTCTCAGTTTCTTCTCCCTGCTCATTCTTAACTTTGATTTTTACTTTACATTTATGTATAAGGCTTGCAACTTCGTTGAAACAATATCTGAACTCCATAACTGCTCTACTATTCTCGATCTCTACAGATTCTCGATCTCGAACAAGCAAATCACCAAACGGCATTCTGGGTTGAGCGAGCGGCGCTGAGCGTATTGAGCGAGCGGAGCGGAATCTTCAGAAAGGCGCTCTGCGATCTTAAGGAAATATTACCACTCCGCTCCGCTCACATGCTCTGGCTCAGGCATGACATAAGCCTTTACTGTCTTCTTAGAAGGCTTTGTGGTAGGGGTGTAACGATTCACTCGTTTTATCGATCTTGAAACATTATTTTTGAATCGTGAATCACTGATTTCGAACAGTAATCGATTTAAAACGCTAAGAATCGAATGAATTCGCGATTTCTCGCGATTCAATGCTTTCAAAATATATACACATTAAATTACTACAAGCACGAATTAATGGAGACCTGAACAGTGTTTGTGCCTCGCATCTCTTCTTCACGCGCTCCACTATTTACTAGGGCTGTGTATCACCAGCAAAGTCACAATACGATATGTATCACGATACAGATGCCACGATACGATACACAAAATATCGATACGACGATGTATATGTTACTCAAAGAAATGTTTGCAAAAAATCGCTAAAGTTTCTAACGTCATATCATTACTGATTGCACGATAGTGCCACAACATAGGCTATTTTCATGTCTGATCAGGGCAATAATAACCACCATAGACATTGAGGAGGGCTAGTACCCCCAATAATTATAAATTTAAACTGGTAGCATCCTGTATCGTGATACATATTGTATCGTGATACCTATCGTATCGTGAGTTTGCTGGTGATACACAGCCCTAATCACGATACATGACTGCACTGAATTTCACCTCAGCAGAATTTAGTAAAACAGCTGTTTATTAAACACTGCTTACTAGAGTGCCATTTCTAACTATTGGCAGAGCAGGCAGTTGACCTCTGCATTATGAAGGGCCTCCATAACTGTACCGTTTCTGGTTTCTTGACAATGACAGAAACTGACTTTTTTGTGTGTGGCAGTTTTCCAGTCCGCTCACTAATGCGATAAACTCCCAGAAACGGACAGATTTCTGTTTTCTGGACACTGACAGAAACGGACTCTTTTGTGTGCGGCAGTTTTCCAGTCCGCTCAGTAACGCGATAAACTCCCAGACACGGACGGAAATGTTTACTCACTCACCGGTAAATCCACGTACATCCCTGTGCATGAGAAGTAGTCTCCGCAAAATCCAGCAGTTAAATCTCCGTAAACAGCCACTCATGTCACAGTAAACGTCTATAAATTACTGTATGCTTAATATGTTTTAAATGCTACGGGTCTTCTATACAAAAATGCGTCATATGCGCTTATAAAAACTGTCAACAAAGCCACAAACACAGCAAGGCATCAACAAAACTCAATTTTATTTTTCAGCAAATGCAAGACTGCAAACATTTAACAGGTAAATCGCATGCGATATTTAATGCGCATCTTGTCAGAAAGCCGGTTCTGTAATCAGCGGTAAATCTCCACCTGCGTGCTTTCACATTGAGCAGCATTAACTACACAGAGCCTTTGTTCACTGACGAGCTGCGCAAAACCACGTTCATATTCGTGCGATTTTTTGCGTAGCTCGTCAGTGAACAACGGCTCTGTGTAGTTAATGCTGCTCAATGTGAAAGCCTGCAGGTGATGGAGATTTACCGCTGATTACAGAACCGGCTTTCTGACAAGATGCGCGTTAAATATCGCATGCGATTTATCGTGCAGCCCTACTGCCTATCTATCATTCTATCTATCTAGTCATGCCTCCATTACAGATTTGTGCAAAACTTTTGCGATATTTTATATATGTCGATAAAAAAGCTATTGCGTAATGACAGTGTTTCCATTAACCAAACTTATCCGACTAAAACAATTTTTTCCTCTTGCGATAAGTCATGGTGACAGATGTTTGTAGGTTTATGTATATCACAGCCACCACACTAGCCATTATTTTTAATCAAACGAGACGTAGGTGTATATCTTTAGCGAAGCAGTGCGAAGAGCTGAAACATGCCGTGGCGTGTCTGAAATAAACACAAGCATTGACTAGTGTGGCTGTGTCGGAGCCGTAATGCTCCGCAGACGTGTGAAGTGTAAATAAGGTGTTATCTAAGCATTAATGGCAAGGAAAGCCAAACATTATTGTCAAGGAAAGCCCCTTATACTTGAGTGGCAACATATGAGGTGTTTCTTGGAGGTTATAGTACATTAAAGAATGATCATGTGACTTTTACGTACACCAGGTGACCTGTAAATGCGAACTTTCCCTTGCAGTTTTTGGAAATTTCAAATTGCCTGAAAAACCATCTCATGTGAGCGTAAAAACTTTTTGCGATATATGGGAGTTTTTGCAAAATTGATGCGCTTCCATTGGGTGTATTTTCAATTCGCAATTTCAGTTTGCACAATTTGAAGGATAAAGGAAATGCAGCTAGTGTATATTGTTCTGCCATTGTTTTAACGTTTGTTCTATTGTTTGTTCTATAGTTTGTTCTATATGTTTATCATTCTATCGTTTTGTCTGTCTGTCATATCTGTACTGTATATCTATCTGTCATTTGATCATTCTGCATCCTTTTTGCCACTTCAATGCTAATTTAATTCAAATTCAAACAGGTAGTCCACCCAATATTATACAAATGATCAAGTCAGAAGTTGAGATGTCGGACCACTCCAGCAGCAATGTTTTGAATTTTCCATAGAGACCATATTTACAGTTTTTGGAAAGTTAAACTTCGGATTGCTTACTTACAGATTCTCTGCACTTTAAATGCAGCACCCATTGCAGAAGAAACAATGTTTTATGGTTAACAATTATTGGGTATGAATACACTGAAGTAACCAGTTCTGAGGTCTGTGGCAGTTCCTCTTTATGTGCAGTTTTTTGTTTTAATAATGATGTTTTATTTCTTGAGCCATTTAGAGGAACTTGTCTGTGCCACATTTATAAGTTTATTGCTGAGTGGCATCATCTGCAAGAAAAGAAAGAAAAACACTTTTTTTCTACTGCTTGACCGTACAGTACATTTTGCAACTTTACAGTGGTTGCGAAATGGACTTTGGTTTTTTTTATATCTGAGCTATGACTTCCTGTTGTGCTTGTGAAGGTGGTAAAATTTTAAGAAATAATGAGAAGAGCTGACAGCTCTGTTAGAAATTTTAAAAACTCCCTTTTGATTGAGCAGTGTTTCTGCTTAATTCTGATTTATAGATCAGATTGTATATTGGCATCCTGTGGTCTCACAGTTCCTCTTGGTATCCCATTGCAACATCTAAACATGCTATGCGGATGTGATATGTATGGCTTCTTGTTTTTATCTTCTTTTTAGGGTTGTTTGACAGCATTTGTGTGATTTTTAGTGAAAGTGTGCCTTGAACGATAAATCCCTCTTATGATACATTGATTTTATTGCACAGTGCACACAAGATCAACGTCTGGCATACATATCCTCCAAAATACATTGTAAACAGTGTTTTTGCCAGCAAGTTTTACTGAAGTGAATCCAGCAGACTTCCAGCTCACAGGCACCAAATCATTTTACGTATTACTGGGGGTTCAAATAAGAGATATGACACCATGCACCACCCGAGGACCTCCAAAGTGATGTAGATTGAATAATTTCTGCATTTTTTTTGTCTTGTAGCTGGTGAGAAAGCCATCGTTTGTGACCAGTGTGGAGCTCAGTTTCAGAAGGAAGATGCTCTTGAGGCCCACCGGCAGATCCACACAGGTGCGACACAAACACCAACCCACACTGCACACTAGAGCTGTGTATCACCAGCAAAGTCCCGATACGATACAGAGGCCATGATACGATACGGGACTGTCACCTCAGCAACCTCAGCAGAATTTAGTAAAACAGCTGTTTATTAAACACTGCTTACTAGAGTGCCATTTGGCAGAGCAGGCAGAGCAGGCAGTTGACCTCTGCATTATGAAGGGCCTCCATAACTGTACCGTTTCTGGTTTCTTGACAATGACAGAAACTGACTTTTTTGTGTGTGGCAGTTTTCCAGTCCGCTCACTAATGCGATAAACTCCCAGAAACGGACAGAAATGTTTACTCACTCACCGGTAAATCCACGTACATCCCTGTGCATGAGAAGTAGTCTCCGCAAAATCCAGCAGTTAAATCTCCGTAAACAGCCACTCATGTCACAGTAAACGTCTATAAATTACTGTATGCTTAATATGTTTTAAATGCTACGGGTCTTCTATACAAAAATGCGTCATATGCGCTTATAAAAACTGTCAACAAAGCCACAAACACAGCAAGGCATCAACAAAACTCAATTTTATTTTTCAGCAAATGCAAGACTGCAAACATTTAACAGGACTGCAAATATTATTAAACAAACTCAGCAGGACTGCAACATCATTTAGATTGAGAAAAAATATTTTAAATATTTTGCAAACACAGACACTTCAAGTAAATCATTAAACTGATTAAAAAATAAAATAATTTTGAAAAGAAACAATAAAAAATATATACTAACCAAAAGACAAACACAATAATGAATACACTTGCAATGGACACTCGAGCCAGGACAGTGATTACCGCTCTCTCAATCAGACAGTCACACACACACTCTAATGTCACCATCAGGACCATGCCATATTTTTCATTTAATTCTGCCTTTCAGAAGCTACAGAAGATACTGTTATGCTCATAAGTTTATATACCTCTAGCACAGAGATGGGCAAACTCTGTCCTCTAGGGCCACTGCCCTGCAGAGTTTTGTTTCAACCCTGATCAAACTCACCTGCCTGTAGCCTTCTAGTTATCCTGAAGACCTTGATTAGCTTCAGGTCTGTTTAATTAGGGTTGGAGCGAAACTCTGCAGGACAGTAGCCCTCTAGGACTGAGTTTGCCCATCTCTGTGCTAGCAGAATATGCGATAATTTTAACAAAATAAGAGGGATCATAATGTATGCTATTTTTATTTAGTACTGTCATGAATAAGCAATTTTACATAATAGATATTTACATTTACTGATTTTATAGAAATGAAAATGTATAATTTATAAAAATGTTCAAAAGTTTACATACACTGGATGACCCACAGCTGTTTTTATGTTTTGGGATAGTTTTTCACGAGTCCAGAGCAGTTCAACTGCCTGCTGTTCTTCAGAAAAATCCTCCAAGTCCCGCAAATTCTTTGGTTTTCCAGCATCTTCTGCATATTTGGCCCCTGTCCGACAATGACTTATAATTTTGAGATCCATCTCTTCAATCTGAGGAAAAGTGAAGGACTCATACACAACTATTATAAAAGGTGAAAACATTGTTCACTGATGCTCCAGAAGGAAACACGATGCATAAAGAGTTGGGGGTGTACATTTTGAACAGGATGATGTGTAAATCTTTTTGTTTTGTTTAAAGATCATATTTGTTCATTTAGTACTGCCCTTCAGAAGCTACATAAAATATATTTTTTATGCTTATTTTCAGAAAAAATGAGTAGTTTTCCCTGATCATCCAATTCGAGTAGTTCACCCCTGTCCGACAATGACTTATAATTTTGAGATCCATCTCTTCAATCTGAGGAAAAGTGAAGGACTCATACACAACTATTATAAAAGGTGAAAACATTGTTCACTGATGCTCCAGAAGGAAACACGATGCATAAAGAGTTGGGGGTGTACATTTTGAACAGGATGATGTGTAAATCTTTTTGTTTTGTTTAAAGATCATATTTGTTCATTTAGTACTGCCCTTCAGAAGCTACATAAAATATATTTTTTATGCTTATTTTCAGAAAAAATGAGTAGTTTTCCCTGATCATCCAATTCGAGTAGTTCACACCCTGTGTCTCTTAATGCATTGTGTTGCTTTCTTGAGCATCAGTAAATGTGTTTACCTTTTGAAATGTATTTTGTGTATGAGTCCCTCAGTTGTCCTAAGTGTGAAAAAATGGATCTGAAATCATACATGCATTACTGGAAAGGGTTCAAATATGCAAAAGATGCTGGAAAACCTGAGAAAGGGAAGGATCTGGAGGAATTTTCTGAAGAAAAGCGGGCATTTAAACTGTTCAGGACAAAGGACTCATGAAACACTATCACAAAACAAACATGAACCACAATTTCTTTTTATTTAATCAGCTATCATTCTGACTAGCAGACTAAATGTAAACATCTGCTAAATTAAATAGCTTCATAAGCCCAGTCCTAAATAATAATAAATAAATAGAAAACATTATATAACTTTATTATTCTGCAGTGTGATGTAACCTTTTGACCACAACTGTATGTGTGAAACAGTAAGTACAGCAGGCTGATTTCGGTGAAATATCAATACCCCATCATCCTCTGCCATGTCCTTTCTATTTATCATGTGGAAACTGTCACTGGTGGTTCAAAGGGTTCATATTTTGACAGTCCTTCAGATGAATGGTTGGGTCTGGGAACAGAGGATCCTGTAAAAATATAATAAAACACACTTTCTCTAAATACATTTGACAGTTTTCATTGTTTAAACACAAGTTAGTATGATGAAACATAACATGATAATACAAATGTAATGAAAACAGGCGGTTATTTTGTTAGCTGAACTATACAGCAATCTTTTAGTAATTGAATGGTATTCAAAAACTGTGTTCAAGTTACCTGATTGATGCCTGTTCTTTAAAGACCAGCAGTTTTCCAGAAGAATGGCAGCATTTGCTATCTGACCTAAAAACATTATATATTTACATTAAAACATATACATTAAATCACATCACAATAAAACAAAATACATTGTAGATTTCTAAACATTAAAACTAGAACACTGACACGAACAAAAGGAGTGAAATTTATGCTGCACTTTGAAAATTATATTAACAAATTAAGACACCATTTCTCCTCCAAGGCTGTCTCTGATGAATCAGAAGTCAGCTGCAGTGTTTGGAGCCTCTGAAATCAGATGAGCAGAATGTGCCTGCAGATTTGTCAGTGGGGAATATGTAAACAACTAAAGCACGCTAGCTAAACTAATATTAATTAATAAACATGTATATTGTACTTAGACTTGTGCCGGTATTCGGTAATGCGGTATATCACGGTAATTAATGTGCACGATATTGTTATCGTGGGCACTTCTAAATACCGTGAATAATTATATATTACAAATTATTCAGAATTTTCTTAATGAAGAGGTTGGAGTTGTGTGACGGTGTGCAGTCGTGGGTCAGCAGAGTGAAGAGGAGGGGGCTCAGCACACATCCTTGGGGGGCCCCAGTGTTCAGTGTGATGGTGCTGGATGTGTTGCTGCCGACCCGAACTGCCTGAGGTCTTCCAGTCAGAAAGTCCAACAGCCAGTTGCACAGCGAAGTGTTGAGCCCCAGCTGGACCAGTTTGTGAATGAGCTGTTGAGGGATGATTGTGTTGAATGCTGAACTGAAGTCTATGAACAGCATTCTGACGTATGAGTCTTTTTTTGTCCAGGTGTGTGAGTGCTGAGTGGAGGGTAGTGGCGATGGCGTCATCGGTCGAGCGGTTGGACCGATATGCAAACTGGAAGGAGTCCAGGGAGGGGGGGAGGGCAGACTTGATGTGGTGCATGACTAGCCGTTCAAAGCACTTCATGAGGATGGGGGTAAGTGCAACTGGACGGTAGTCATTGAAGCAGGATGGAGACGACTTCTTCGGGACTGGAATGATGGTGGTGGCTTTGAAGCATGTGGGGACAACAGCCTGGCTTAGCGAGATGTTGAAAATGTCTGTGAAGACATCAGTGAGTTCCACTGCACAGTCTCTCAGTACACGCCCAGGAATGTTGTCAGGACCCGGAGCTTTGCGTGCATTGATCCTGCTGAGGGATCTCCTCACGCTGTCCGGGGACAGCGTCATCACCTGGTCGCCGGGAGGAGGTGGAGTCTTCTGTGCAGTGGTGCTGTTTTGTGCCTCAAAGTGAGCGAAGAAGGTGTTCAGCTCATTCAGCAGGGAGATGGTGCTGTCACAGGTGCGTGGTGGGGGCTTGTAGTCCGTAATGGTCTGTATCCCCTGCCACAGGCTCCGAGTGTCTCTGCTGTCGCTGAAATGATGGGCTATCCTCCTGGAGTACTGTCTTCATTTACAGTTCATTTAGTGCCTCGCTCCTGTTGCTGTTGTTTGAGCTGGGAGGGATGTATACAGCAACGAGCAGTATGGCTGTATATTCCCTCGGTAGATAGAATGGCCGGCACTTAATAATCATAAACTCCACCAGGGGTGAGCAGTGTTTGCAGACCACAACAGCATCGCGGCACCACGCATCATTGATGTAAACACAAAGCCCGCCGCCACGGGTCTTACCTCC